CTTAACGCCATGTTGAGGACGAAAAGCGCGGACTCTTGTACAACCGCTGCCTATCGCAATGAAGATGAAACATCAACTTACGTGCTTTCATTTCAAAAATTATACACGTTAATTTATAGTCCCTAACTTACTTGATAGCTTTGATAAGTGCTGTGTACCTTTAACAGGGCAAATGAACTAATTTCGTGACAGACAGAGAAAGCCACAGACAAAGTAAGCGCTCCATTTTTAGTCATAATGAATGCATCATGTTCATGTTTTTACATTTTTCAATTTACTAGCCTTTTCTAGACATGTTTATCATATTTCTGACGTATCTCTGATTTCTTTTGAAACTAGTTTTGCGTGGTAGAAAAAGTGTGCTTTTTTTTGAAATTGCACGTGTAAAACGCTATGAAATTTCATTACTTGGTTTGAAGGTCTTTGAAAGAGAACAATACTACTGAGCTTAATTCTCTTCCCTTTTTCAGTTTCTGATTAATTTTCGTAATGTTAGGTCTTTTCTTGGAAACACAGTACAAAAATACATAGTTCTGTATCAAACTTTTTTTTTCAAGTACACCGTCTAGCAGTGGAATTTCTCCGTCTCCATCCATATCATCACCACAAACTAATGTGGAAACCACACCTACACCTACACCCCAATCTACTTTTTCTCGAGAAGAACCAAATGAAGAAGCACCACAATTGGAGTCATTCTCTGAGCCAGTGACGGATGATCACAACAGTTCTAATGATCACGGTATCGTTTTCTTATCGTTTCAAATATATCGAAGAGACAATTTGTTTATGATCTTTTTTGCAGTGGCGTCATCGTTACCGTCAACGTCGACTGTGCGTGAAGTTGTTGTTCGAACACCGGGAGTCGGCGTTGTAAGAAAATTGTCTGCACCGTGTAATATAGTTTATAGGCAAGCTAATACACCTTCAAAGCCAGGAACACCGATAAGAACAACAAAGCAAGTCAGGTAATGTCTAATTGAATAACTTCATCAACATGTTA